GCCCCTGCACAGCCGAAGGGGGTCCGCACCCCACGCGGCAGACGGCCGCGCTGCGGGAGGAGAAAGGAGCGGAGGCACAGGGAGGTGAAGTAACTTGCCCACAGCTATTCAGAAAACTATGGCACAACATAAACCCAGATGTTTTCACCCTTGAGTCAGCTCCTTAACAACCCTATTTTGCAAAAGGTTTCACCTCGTTGCAACTGCTTGTGTATTCTTCAAGACTTTTTTTTACTTTTAAGCAAATTGAGAGGTAGTGAGAATAATTAAATCCCTGAACATCACAGCACGGTTCTCTGAGAAGCAGACCCAATTCTTGGGTGCAATGGCAACAGCAGGATGTTTCCTCCTCCCGGAAGTGGGTCCCAGCACCCGCCGTGAGCTGTACAACAACTGCAGACAACTGCCCGAATTCGGGGAATTTGGGCTGCGAAGGAACAGGCGCCTCACTGGCACCGGGGCCCTTAACGCCGCTCACGCTGTTGCTCTTTGTACCTACACAGGTCCCAAGGAAAAGCCTCTCTGGCGGCCAGTGCCACGGAGCAGAAGAGCCGTCGTGCCGTGTCCCAGCAGCTCTTAACTGGTTTCAGCTTTAATCGAAATCAGAATAAGGACAAGACTGGGACATCTCAGGTGATACAGTCTCTGGTCACAAATTTGCCAAGATAATGGAAAAGTTAATAGGGGACATGCCCATTTCAGCTGGGTTTCTCTCTCCCCGAGTATATTAAAATATGACTAATTAGAGAAAAAATGTGCTACCACGTTTTAGATTTGGGCAGGGCCATGAAAGCACAACTGGTCTGGACACTGCATCTGGGTGCAAGGCTGACCCGAGCCGACCGAAACTCAACAGGTGAACAATGAGCCACTGGAGATGGCAGGACTGGGCTTTCCCCTGGACAGGCCAGCGTGACACACAAACACACCGAGCATGGGGTCTGGCATTTCACACCTGAAAGCCCGGTGCCCTTGGCCACAGAGCTAATAGGGGCTTCGCACGCTGTCAGGTTTTGTTTGCTGAAACCAAGCCCTTTCCCAGCACAGAACTGGCTCTCATGAGAAATCACCTGCCCGAGAAGATTCTCTGCCCCAAAGACAGGCACCCTGCACAGCTCATTGCAGTGCTCGGGGTACTGTTTGTTTCTCAGTGACAGGAGCCGATACCATACAAAGATATGTCGAACCCGGAGAAAGGCTCAGCAGAGAGACCAGCCACGCCAAGGCAAATTCAATTTGTTACAGTCAATCTCACAGCCAGAACACATCACCCCAAGGAAGCTGATCAGGACTGTGAAAAGTACTAGTCCTGAGCTAGCACAAGTGATTATTTATGAGAGACGCTAATATTGAGCATTTAGATGCACCAGGAATAACATCTCCAGGAAAACCTCACGGCACAGATTTCTTTTGCACTAAAGTAACTGAGGGGGAAAAAAAAAAAAAAGAAAGAGAAAAATCACAAGCAGTTGCATTAATAATTTGGGAACCACAGCCAGTTTATCCAAACAGCCGCACACACGCAGCTGGCACGGCGGGTGCAGCAGCACAGAGCGCAAGGACAGAGCGATTTGCCGGCTTCCTCTGCGCCTGGAGCGCGACAGCAGCGAACGCAGACCCCAAAGGGAAAAAAATTCCCTGCAGGGTGACGAACCCAGGCACACAGGGAAGGGCTGGATCACATCAGGGTGGTTCGGGACAGCAAGGGGAACATGCTGCTGCACAAAATGACTCTTCCCTTCCCCGAGCGGCCGTGTGCGTCGGCAGCTGCACACGGAGACTGAACAGCGGGATGGCCACAGCCTGGGCAGACGGCTTTCGTGCCATGGGCAGTAATGGCACTACTCAGGATATAATCACTGCCTCTCCAGAACGAAAGCGTCTTCCTCCTCAAGATGACTTTCCTCAAGGAGTGGAGTGAGAATGACCAGGTTTTGGCCAACGTCCCCTCCTCCCCTTATGTCCCCAGTAATCAGGATTACGTCCTCCCTCACTGGAGTTCTTATCGTTGGGACAGCAGTTTGAGTTATCTAGGTTCTCGTATATTTTACTTTTATTTCTATGGATTTGTATTTATCTATCTATGCATTTTATTATTGTACCTAGGTGAAAACCCATCTGGCAGTTAGCAAGCTGACTCATGCAGCAGGAAATATATTTATGGAACAATCTTTTAATGATTGTCTCTATAATCTTGGCAGCATAGTGACTCCAATACTGCTCTCAGCAATGTATTCTCCTTTTCCAGCTGACCAAGCCCACATGCTGGTCTCCCAGTGCCAACGGGTAGAGCTGCCCAGCTGGACAGTCACCAGGAACCTCCATCTCTGCTGCTGCCCGGGTCTTCCTCGGTGGCTCTCCCACCAAGCCCAAAAGGATGGGGACACTCATCGCTCAAGCTATCTTCCCACCACACTTCATACCAGTCCTCCTGTGCTGTCATCTCCAGAACAAACCTCCCCTGCCTCCAGAACAGCAGCATGTCTTTCCTGCCCTTGAAGCACCTCGCAGTGTCTCAGAGAGACATCTCAAAACCAAAGCTCTGCCAACAGTTACTCTCCCAGTGCCCAGCCGCAGAGGGGGGAGGCGAAAGGACCGCCTGGCACGCAGCTACAGCTCTGCAGCAGACCAAAGGCACGCTGCTGCTGCAGACCTCGGCACACCTTTGCTTAACCAAGACATCCGGGTGTTTGCGACCCAGCGCAGGAGCTGGCAGCAGCTCTCGCAGTTGCAGTCTCTGCACTGGTGGACTTTGCAGTCCCAGACAACAACTAGGAAAAGCTCTTACCATCTTCGTTTTCATCGAAGGGTGGTGACTCGCTGGAGGTGTTTGCTCCCATGGTGTGTTCAGCCCCAGCTCAGCTCTCTCCACTTCTCTGCTATATTAGCACCCTCAAAGCTGGTGCCTCCAGGACAGTGTTACCCGTGGGTCACTCCCAGCAGACCTGGGCGATGTTCTGCTGGTGCACCCTGGAGAAGGCAGGAGGCAAAAATTCATCATCATTCAGGATTAAGAAACATTTTGCAGCTTGCAAACTTCTCACTGGAGGTTCACTGCTCTGGAGACAGAGCAGAGTATCAGAGAAAAAGCACATTACAATGGAGTTTACTAGAGAAACCCAGAAACATCATAACCTTGTAACCTAGACCAGGACTGATGCCCACTAAAGGAACTGTAGAAACAGACTAACAGACCAAAAGATCTGAGGATCTGGCTCATGTTTGCTGTATCACCCAACATATTATATTTTGTCGCTTCAATGATTGTAGTGAGGTCAATAGCCAAAAATAAATGGACATAGTGACTTGGCTAGATATGTCCAAGTAGAGTGGAAGTGTAAAAGTGTATAGTGTAGAAGGAAGTGTAAAAGCTATATAAGAAGAAATTCAAAGTGTCAACCTTTTGATTTAAGCTGTCTTTCATTTGGGACAAAATCATACTTTTTTTAATTAAAAGATTAAATAGTAGCTACGCCTTGATTTTTCCATTAAGTTTCTTCAAAAAAATTTTTATATGAACTACAAACAAAAAAGAAAACCTTCTGATTTATGATCAGCAGTGCTGGCTGCAGTGTCTGGTTTTCCTCTTACACTGCAGAAGGACAGGTCTGTTCATTAGCAGACAACACAGGTTTTAATTTTCCAATTCTCCCACAAAGATGTATGTGTATACTGGAGCATATGATTCTGTCTAGTTTAGTGACACTCAAGATAGCTTGAACGATTCTATACGGGTACAGTAGCAGTTTTGTTTTTAAAGCGTTTACATGCAAAGCATCTTTATAGGCTTATTTTGATACTGACATCCCTGTGAAATTCACATTTAGCAAAACGCTACAAGTATAAAATGAGGGAGTAACAGTGCAGCACAATCTGGACTTTATCCAGATTTTGGATTTTCATTGACTGTTGAAGGATGCGATGCAGCCTTACTCATTTTTCTCAGATCTACACTCTGGAAACACATCTACTGAGTAGCTTCACTTTTTTACTTTAAAGTAACAAAAATCATGTTATTGAAGCACAAAAGGGAGGAATCATTAAAAAAGTGTTGGAAAAAAGAGAATTACTGGGACTGCCATGAGACGCTGTGGGTTCCCCGCACCAGCACACTCAGCTCCTCGTCTCCAGCTAACTGTTTCTCTACCACTCAGCCAAGAACTCAGCTCTAACCTCACACCCTGGGACAGGACGATACCTTAAAGCAAGTGCCAAAGCTTGCCTGAAGTTTAAAAGCAATCCCTATATTGGTGTGTCTTCCTGAACTGGGCTGCAGTGATGTTAAAATTCATCGCCAGTATGACAATCCTGGGAATCCAACTGTGGCTGCTGATGTATGGCTGACTGCACCGGTACCCACGCTCCCCACATCATCTGGAGCTGAGAGGGCTCCCGGCACTACCAAAAGGCACCCGGAACAGGCCACAGGCAGCACAACAAGGCACTCTCTCTCCAAGGCATTTTGCAATCACAACTGCAACCCACCCACGCTGCTGCTGTGGTTCACGTAGATCTCGCTATTCCCAGCGAAAAGCAGTGGAGTTTGCATTTCTCAGAAGGCCAAAAACACCCCAGGGCAAACTATTAAAAAAAACTAAAATCTTGATTTCTCAGAGAATCGAAACAAGATCCAACAATAAAACAAATGAAGCAGCAAATGTTTGTGATGCCTATCAGTGCCTCTGCAGGGAACAGACTGAGCCTCCAGTCTGAAACAAAGTCACACCAGCACCTCTTCGCAAGCCCCAAAACTTATTCTTCAGAGGAAAAATACACCTTCAGATGTAACAGCCATAAATCAGGTTTCTGTACTGATGCTTCTACATCACAAGGATCTTATTGGTGTCAACCATGGTCAGTTGTGGTCATGGTCAAGGAAATGTTCTTGCACAGGAGTCTGTAGCTTAATTTATTTTTGACAATATGTCAATACATAAAAGCTATGAGGAAGGAGCACGGGTATTCCTTGAAGTTAAGCTGGTCTGAGTAGTAAGTACTAAGATTTGTATCTTTATGAAGTGTACCCAGGGTACAGTAAAGATACATCTTTTCCTGTTTCACACTGCAAAGTCACAAAATTATTAAAATCATAACTTTCCCTTGGGCCAAGACAACTAATGCTTCCATGTTAACTTCACGTTCGGTCAAACCACTTGTCGCTCCACAAGCAGCGTGGGGACAGCTCTACTGGTCAGTGGTCCCGGGCTCCTGTCAGCCGGTCTGGCATCCACAGCTGAAATTTTACAGGCGTGAGAAAGCAGCTGCTTGGCTATGCCCAGGCTCCCGCCTCCAGAGCCAGGCAGCGCACCTTCACATTGCCAAGCATATTTTATCCTAGACAGAGAAATGTAAAACCAAAGCAAAGCAGAGGAAACATAACCACTCAAGTGCCATTGCCGAGGGTGTACACTTGCGCGGCAAGCAGGCTGTGCTCTCTAAGGAGGAAAAGAGTGCAGCAGGGATAAGGAAAGGGCTAGACATTTACACATTGGGAGCATCTAGTTGCATTGTTAGAATTATCGCTAATGGGTGACTACCAAGCTTCCTCGGAAGAGGACCACTAACTTGGAGGTGTTCACAAATAATTTCTCTTACCACGACTTCATTGCTTAAGTACTGCTTAGGGACGGGGTGCTGCTGCTCTTCTGTTGAAGAACTGAAACTGGGCAGTGATACAGCAATACATGGCATTATCCTATCGCTTTTGTCCCAGAGAAACTAAGGATTATTCTGAACTCTCTGCAGCTGCAACGAAGTTCGGGAAGGACGACAGCAGGTACTATCGGTGTCACCTTCGGTTCTCGCCCCGCTGGAGCCCCTCCTCTGGCAGCGTGGCCCCTTCCCAATTGAAAACGCTCCTGCAGGCAGCGACGAGGTCATGGCCCGCAAACCCCGCACACTCC